ATATATATATATATATATATATATATATATATATATATATATATATATATATAGATTAAAAAGTTCACGTTTCAAGTCGTCAAATGGAAATGTTTGATCGATTCAATAATTGGTTATTAGCGAATCATATGCCAAAAAACACTGTACAGCTACAGAAGAACAGTGCAACCAAACTACACTTTTTAAAATATGTTAAAGATATTAAATTCCGATATTATATTCCGTTTGTCTGCCAGTATAACTTTCCATTTGCATCTAATATCAATATCAGGTGTATCTCTCTCCCCTCCTTTTCTGGCCACTTCCCTGGAATCCGGTATAGACAAGAATTTACGGAGGATCAGTTGCACCTGCAAAGCAATACTTCTTGCGGTTCCCTTCATCAGACCACTTTAGTAGGGCTAATCTGGTCGTTCAAGAACTTCCTCTTAGACCGACTTCTGCGGTCAAGTAGCGCTGTTCAAACGACTGTAGAGATGGTTCATCGTGCTACAGAAAAAAAAAAAGAAACTATAGGGAGTTCCGTAATCTGGAAGTGCTTCTGTAGTCAGATTAACGTAAACTAAAGAGGTAAATGGACCTTTTCGTCACTTAGATCTCTGCAGTCGTACTTTCCATCACATTTTTTTGCTATATCAAAACATTGTCTTCCATCAGCGCACTGGAATACGGAGCCATCATTGACATTGCAGGATACGCTCGGCGCTGCTGCAACACACACAAACCAGGATTTACACAGCACAACAACTGGGAAATCATACCTGGGATACTTTAAAGACTCTTCAAGCATTACAGTAGTCTTGAGATGCCTCACATCATATGCAAAGTACAAAATTACCAACTAATAAATGAAATCAAACTAACGACAGTCCACTTCATCCGAACCGTCCGCACAGTCTGTGATATTATCACATCGTTGGTATTCTGGAATACAAGAAGCTGAGCGCCACTCGTACTTGTCACATTGCCACTGATCCGATTTGCAGCCAGGATGTGCTATAATAAAGATACCGTAACTTTCCATAGTTTCTGTTTCCCACTATAATAGTTGAAAATATTACAACAAACCCAAAAAAAAAGAAAGCCAACCGTACTGAAAAAGTTATCCATGAAGAATAATTTTTTAATATTAACAAACATATTATGATTGGATGGCATCCAATCCGAAACAAGTCATTTGATGCCTCTTCCATATAAACAAAGCATAGATTAGTACGGCAACACTCATGGCTCAAAATTTCTAACACTTCATTGGTTCTTTGTAATTGTGACTCAAAAAGAGGCTAAGCAAGTAAAAGTATATTGCGCTGGAGAACTGACGAAAACCAAACTTAAACTGACGAAAAAAAAAAACCAAATTTGACGACAAAAACCAAATTTATACCAGCCTGTTAGAAGTATTAAAGAGTTAATCAAACTAACGGCAATTCTTCTCATCTTCACCATCTGAACAATCGCCCGACCCGTCACACTTCCATTCAAACCTGATACATTTACCATCATTACAGCGGAAATCGTTTTCTGAACAACCAGTAGCGCCGAAATGAACTGATGTTGAAACTGAACCAGGTAATGGAGCCTCAACCGGCGAGATTGGTGAATCTACTGCAACTTATGCTGCTTATTAGTTCATCTGTATTTTACATAAAGGTCAATAATGTTAGTGTTTACTACATGAACAAAGAAAAACAAGTGGATTGTTTCATATCAGAAATGATTAAATGATCCAATCTGCCATCACAACAGCAGTATAATAAAGGTCAACAAAACAGATTCATTATTGTATCACACCTTACATGAATATCGCAAGATATGTTCCTCTATGTTCCGAAAAAAAAATGCTTTTCTCGTTTCATCCAATTTGATGATTAAGCACAAGTAGTTCAAGTAAATAGGGTAGGAAAGGTGTAATTCAAGATCAACTGACATGACGACTTACATGCCGGTTTCCTAACAGAATGACCGCAGATAGAAACGAGTTTACAAAAATGAGTATACAGAAACAGGAATTAAGCTCGATTTCAACTTTGCATGTTTAATTTTAACTTGAACCCAATGTTATTTTAACTCACTTATGCTGACGTGTCGTGCATACCGCATCAGGATCAGGAGAACGACAGAATTTGGTTTTTCTACCACAGAATTTGAAAAGCTCACATCAAAGCACATGAATCTGGGAGGGAAACGGGAGGAGCAGTCTCTTTGGTTTCTATTAAAAGGATAATCCGAGAAAAGAGATTCGCTAAAGAAAACAAAATTTTAGAAGAAAGTTTTATTAATGAAATAAATGTATGTTGAAAAAAAAATTTTTTAAAACATTTGAAAATGAGGTGTAGCAGAACCAAAATATTCATTAGTTTGTAATTAATTATGAAGTTGATAGAATAACTGTCACAGACAAAAACCATCACTAACTGATACTTTCTGAGAAATAACAGAGATGCAGAAGTTTTTGAGTAACCATTACAGCCAACCAATCTTGTCAGTTCTGACTCGAAATGAAAGACTGATTAGAAGCATATTAGGAGACAGCACCAACTGGATTTATGGCACTAAGCACAAAATTCAAAAAAGTATCAGTACTATGAATATATGCTAGTGTATACTAATTATTTAAGGGGAGTAGAGCATGATTTGAATTTTCAACTTTCAATACAAGTGAATCATGAAATTGTATATCTTATGTATCAAAGGAAGAGAAAGATGATGGAATCTTATTTCCATTTATATCCTTTACTTACATAATATTTTCGTGTAAACGTTTCTTTGCAAATATTTTAAAGTTGATAGACATGCAATGAAAGATGGCTTTAAAAAATTATATATTGAGGATGTAAATGCACTTTTTTAAAATTACTTTAGCAATGGACAATGACGAGTGGTGAACCTGATTGAAACATCAAAACTACGACTGCATGAACTCAGGAACCGGAAGAACTAAGAAGACAGCATTTCTTAATCGTACCTTTTCCATCTTCTCGGACCACGCAAAATTTCTTTATTCTTATTTCCTTTCTTCTTAATATCTTTAGCTATTTAAATGAGACAAAATTTTCCAATGTTTGATCTGTGCTGTCATATGAAGTGGTTAGATGAGTTCATTAGATTTTGGTTCATTCATTGATCGAACTGAACAAAATCTATGTTTTCACTGCTTGACTGATCTCTACAAAAAACGATTCATCTCCGAAGAATGGCAACATTTTGCTGCTCTTTACTGCTATTACAGTTATTTCTGGTTCGAAAAATTATTTTTCAGTCATATCAAAGACAAAAAAATAAGATCGGAACAACTGATGCGCTGTTATCCCGATGGAACGAATTATTGTAACAGTCGCTCCTTCTATCACTCCTCTCTTCCTATCTTCTCTATCACCAATGAGAGAAACAGACCAAGAATTCAACCAACCAACTTTTCCCACTGCTACACAACAATTTTCACTTTTTTCTACAACACAAATTATCAATAAAGTTATTGAAAAATGAAGCATTATGGGAAGGAATGTGACGATCAGTCATCAGTGAATTGTTGTTCTGTCTGAAAAGATGCACAAATGATATTTTCAAGAATGTTTTGAAATGTTCCGGGAAATGTTATTTTGTGAAGAGAAGTATGCATTTATACCTTCCCCTGTAATATTGTAAGGAAATAGAAAATGATTGTGCTCTACAGAAGCCTTCGATAGTTACACTGCTATAAGCGGTTCTGTTCCGAATGTAAAAAAAAAAAAAATTTATAAAGAAGAAAAGCTAAAAGAGATATGATATGATATTGATTAGTCAAGAGTAATTCCACCTGATAATTTCACACCATCCTATCCCTCCGTACTTTTATCACTAAGCTATAGTCAATGCAGCAATAACAACGATTTCAATCATAAAATCGTTAGAAATATTATGGAAAGAAGGTAGTTCATTATTCGTGTAATTTGCCTCGGTTTTTTGTTGGTGCAATAAATTGAGCAGCTATGTTATCATCGACAATATTGGTGAGAAATTTGGAAAATTTGATAATAATGGCTATATTCCATATTTATACTCCATACAAAGCACTTCCATTTGATTAAAAAATTAGTTGAAAAATTAAATGAAGACATTATTATTTGTATCTATGGAAAGACAATTAGATAAAAAGATGTTTGTGCAGAGAGAGGATATGGAGGTGAATTACTACTTCGCAACAATAGCATGGAAATCAGGAATTGGATTACTACTTCTGAAGAATCAGGCAAAATTTAGATGACGATAAAGTGACCACTTAATAACAGTTTTTTCTATTATTACAGTAAGTATTCCAGACACGATCACTTCAGTTAACACTCATTTTTTTTCTAATCCTGAATTCTGTATTATTGGGGACTTCAGGTTGATGGGTTAATTTTAAAGCAATCATGATAGTCATATAGTTGATAAAACTATTGCATCGTTAATAGAAATGATTGATAAAGATCAATGTCACAGATTTAATGGCATTGCACTAGGGAAGATCAAACCAAGCCATCCATTAATATCACTAATATGATTAATTAATCGTTTCGTTCCACCAAATATTAGATACCTGACTTGTTGACCGGAATTAACCAATCAGTAATGCGCTATATTTGAAACTCATCATGAAACTAATGGGTAAGTTTTTAATGTCCTCATACACAATAAATCAAACATCCTTTTCCAGGATTAATTCGGGTCAGAAATGCTGAACTGATAAGTATTGTTAGGAGTTTTACCACAGGCAGCAAATGCATTAGCTGTCGTTAAGAAGCCACATTTTCCTTTTATCCATCTTTCCTCTTGTCATTATAATTTGAAGATCTATCCGTCTGATATCATCATATCATGACTACTTGAAAGATAGATAAATTTGTCGTAATCAATTGTCAACAGGATAGATTTTATTTCTAGTGAGCTAAAAGTTAATGAATAAATCAAATGGGCCAGTTTCGCTGTATCGAAAAAAAGAACGTAGCAGCGGCCTGAGGCAAACAATCATTTTAATGAAGTATGCTTTTGACAGTAAGGTTTTACTAAGATTCCATTAGGATGGTGAAGACCGCTGTAGTTAATATATATTACCCCAACCTCATCTATTTTAAAGAAATGCAACATTTCATATGCGCATATTAAAAAGTTTTCCGATGAGCTTCTAGACAGGTACTCATTTTCTTCTTCCCTTCCATATACAATTAATTTTCAAATTAAAATTATCTGAAATATTTTGGCATCAGGAGTCATTTGAAGTTAACGCTGATAGGATAATTAAAAGTGGTCGAACACTGCCAGTAGTTTGTATCTTCACTCAGAATCCCATTTTGCACGTCGTGCCGAAATCAATAATCACTACAGTAAAGCTTCTTTTTTAAAATTGAGAGGAAAGAAGATCTGATTCACTATGGTAGCACTTCAAACTTCTCAAATTTACTTTGGAACTCATTTATTTTATGAATATCACACTCAAAAAATTCATATCTGATTTTCTATACAGGTTCATAATTTCTTCAATTTTGCAGCAGATTTCGGGGAACATTCGTGTATTTGAGTAAAACGAAAACATGACATAAATATATTTGAAGCACTATTTTCATATAATGCTCTGGAGTCGAAAGACGTAAACATTGTAGAAGGTCATCATCAGGCTGAATAGAGCCAAATAAGCATTTTTTATTTTAAATTCTCCAATTTTTTAATGTGATTTCGAGGGGATTAATTTTACTAATGCTACAGTATTATTGTGCTCGTACAAAGAACGAATCACGCGTATCCATCACCTTATTTTGTCACCTTATAAAACATTTATTTACTGTGGAACCTAACTAAGAGACTGTGACATATAATACAATTACAGTGTCACTCTACTTTCTCATCCAATGTAAATATTTTAATTCTAAACAATGTGATAATAAAGATGCTGTAGTAACTCAAACAGTCCCCTCGATCTTTTACACAGATTCCATGGGTATACATAAACTCAAGCGAAACATAAAAGGTACAAAGGTCATAAGAATAAGTTCAAAAGTTTGTGCCAAAAGTTGCGGCTAAAGCCGTTCAAAGAAGAATAACATTTGAAATGGTAAATTTACTTACATGTAATTTAAATACATTGTGATGTTTGCTACAGAGAACAGCAACAGGTTCAGCTCAGGTGCTACACGGCGAAGTGCCGGTTAAAGTGAAGAAATCAGAAAATTGATACTGAGAATGATACAGTCCTAGAAGAGAGGAGTTAATGATGAGATGATTTTTAAGAAAGATATAAATGAGAAAGTAAGAGAAACCTTGTATGGGTATAAGATCTGGATTAGCTGCCCATGTCCATTGTACACTTCCTGATAATGTATAACTCAGATAATATAATAACAGTAGCATGCTATAATATAGAAAATAGTGAAATACAGAGTAGATGTGATGTATTGTATAAATCGTTGGTCGTCTCGTACGACGATTACTACCACATCTGAAAAAGTTGATAGTTAAAAAAGAAGACGTATAGAATTTGACATGTTGGAAGTGCGGTTGTAGTTATGAGCTAAGACTTTAGAAGTAGCAAAAGTATACAAAGTATCGATGGAAAAAGCAAGAAAGAAGGGAAGAATAGAAAAGCACGCTCAATCGTCTCCTAAACTGCAAGTGAGGAGAGATGGCCAATTCATATTTCAATTCCATAGACGACGATATTATTGTATCAACATCACTATCACTGTTTTCAGAAGTAACACTCTGGTTAGAGCATTGTTAACAGAAACAACCAACACTACAGCAACTTCCATTTGTGTTAACGAAAGTAAGGCTACGAAATGAGAGAAGGGAATCGAACAGTGTTGCGCATGTCAACAGAACAAAAGACAGTGCGGTGAATCAATTTCACAATCCAATTAATAAATGTTTGTTTCGAAATTGAAACTACCAAGAATTAAGGGAGCATCGAGAAAGAAAAAGAAATGACTCCATTGGGAGACGGGGGAGGGTTAGATGAACCACCTTCTTTCTTTCTCCATACCTTAACCATTATCACGGTGAAGCAAAATGGGATATATGGGGGAGAAGGGCGGGGGATACGTGTGTTCAACAAATTCTCTCACTGCAATGATGACAATAACGATGACGATGACGATGGCACCCCTACTCGATCCCCTCCACATCACTCTACACCTCGATCGGCAGCACCGGTCATGTCGCAGCACTACTATCTTTACCGACCGGTAATCGTTACTAATAGCGCACCTTTCCTCTTCTTTCGACTCTTTTCTTCTTTAATTGGTGCTATTACAGGCTCTGCAGGGCATGGGAATGCATGCATCTTCCGCGCTCCATTATAGGAAACAGATGGATGTAGCGGTATTCCCTTGTCTTAATTGCTTACTCGATTACACTCCAAATAGCTGGAAAAGAGCTTGTCTTCGGTATGGGTCATGGGCTATCAATTAATTGATCGTTATACTGCTCCACCCGATCCTGTGTTTTCGATGGTATCATTCTACCGATAGTTATCTTGTTATTAAATTTTGATGTCTCTTTCCTGCAATAATCGATTTGCTTTCATTCGTTTTTTCATTTCTCCTTTTGTCCTGCACTGAAACCATGGAAACGATTTGTCGCATTATTTAATATTCTCTTAAAATCTGCATTAGTATATCAATCCAGCAATGACTGATTTCTTAAAGAACACAGGGTATGGACGCTGTGATTAAAGAATTTATAAATAGCTATCGCTGCGACAAAGGCACTTCCTCATGTGTCGCATGCAAATAAAGCAATCATTAGATACTTCTGCATTCATCGTATTCAATTTTACTAAGCTTGAATGTACACTTCATTAGTGGGATACACTGTATTTGGATATTTGAATGACACAAGGTCAGTTGGGATTGGGAGAGGTGAAGAGGATCGATCCTTCATCGGTCACATTATCACATTACTGACGGTTTTGATTAACAGATGGAAGAGCCTACACAGAAGGGAGTCACATGTATGAACTGAAATAATTATAAAGAACATTGGAATAGTCAGGTCAAGTGATTACATAGAATACTTAGAAATTGCTGATGTAATGGCCAACTAAAATATCCAGCTATCTGTGTAACAACTTCACTTTTTTTTAAAATAATATTTCAACGTTGAAACTGCCTAAACGCTTTTAGAAATGTGAGACAAGTTGGGCCTTCACCTTCCAGTTCCACATACAGTCCCCAAATTCGATGCTTTCAACGATACGTTGTCTTCGTGTCAAGCTTAAAGAAAAGCATAAAGAAGTATGAGGAATTACAAGATTTTACCATATATCACACATTTACCCATTAATACCACACGGGATGTATCAGCTCGCAGTGCTGCCCAGAATACCACGGACAAAGTAGGGAGTTGTCATTGGTCTTGTCAACGAACTAACCAGCCATCATCACCTCACTATCATAAACCTGATTTTGAAAGAGCAGGGGGAAAGCGATCATCTATCCACCGTCCACAACTCAGTTCCTCTTCTATTCACTTTGCTGACATCAGCCCACCATATTTATACATGGCAACTTAATGATCATACCACCAAGAGTAATAGGGAAGTGGCGTATCTCAACTAAACAATCTCTTCATTTCAGAAATTAACACATTTAAATGGGCGAAAAGGTCAAAGCTTCTGCAGAAATGACAACCTTGAATGACCCTAACATAGACTTAAAAACTCAGATAGCATGCAGTGGAATATAGCCAGCAATGCAAGCTATGCATTTCCGAAACTCGACAAGAAGGGACCACATTAGCAGCCGTTTAAGGCAATATGTCATCGCTACTCCTCACTAGAGAATTTCAGACTGTTCAAATGCAACTTTAAAGGTGTATATTTAATAAATTTATCGATAATCTATAGGAAACATGAATAATCAAATACAATGAGCATTCGAGCACCCACCGTAAGTATCGGCTCTCGCCGATACTTGTACCAAAAAGGTAGAGACGAATTTCTTCCAAATACACGCTAATAATTAATAACTCAATGATAAATGAATATTGGGGAAAATTTCTAACAAAAAATCATACTTCCCATTAAGAAATAATTTATCTCGCGCTAGCAATCACTAGTTTAATTTCACAGGAAAACAAGCTTAATGATTATAAAGATTGATTTCTCTCTATCCTCATTCTGGTTATCTTTTTAACAATAATATCCACCTTCATAACTTTCCAAATCAGGTATTTCGTCCACGTTAAATAATTCTTCATTAATTTCCATGTTTCCAATACCAGCAGCAGTCTCTTCCCACTGAAATTGTGGGAATCACATATAAAAAACAGGTGTAAGTGAAATTAGGAAATGTGAATCACACAGCCACACAGATTAAAAAAAAGCTTTCAAGGTTGCTTATATAGCAATTCTAGGTGAAACTTCAGATGGAGAAGTATTTTAGGAAAAGAAATAAACGTGATCTAATCTGATAAGATGTAAGCATGAACATATGAAGCAAAACCTTTTCATCCTCATCCAGGTCGTCATCCAACATATGTCCTTCATCATCGATGCAATAAAATGTACGCTCATCGATTTCAAATGCTTTTATCTCTTGCTAAATAAACTACTACAATCACAAATAGGAATAAACTTATAATTATATTCTAAGCTAATAACTTCCTCGAAAAGTTACTGAGACATGAGAAAAAAGTTGTACCATGAATATCATTAAAGAACATGAAATGCTGCTGCTTTCAAAAATTCTTTATGCTGTTGTTGGTAGATAACAAAATGGAGATATATAATAAACAAATAAAACCTCATCATTATCTTCTTCAAATCCACGTTCAAATGCAACACCACCTTCCATATCTCCTTCATCTTGTATCATCAGTTCTGGATCGTATGTGAACAAATCACGGCCACTCATCCCAATCTATAACATCCACAATATTTGGAAGACAAAATGCATGTCAACATAACCTTGGAAGAATGAATTTATTATGTAAAAACTTCGTGTCGTTAAAATAAGTCTTATGTAATTGCTGGTAAAATACTTGATGTGCATCAAATTCCGTTAAAGTTCTTCCTAATAACATATCATTTTGAAAAACTTCCTCAAGAACAACTTTATTTCAAATAAGACCTGCATTCAACTGAAGATGACAGAAAGCTACTGCATAAGTGAAAAGTAAGTGCATAGTAAACAAGGAAAATCTCACCGATTTACCCGTCTTAATGTTTTCTTTTTCTCTTTCTCTTCTTCCGCAATTTCCTTTCCGTTCTCGCAACTTCTTCTTCTTCCAGGAGATAAATGTTTCTAGCGTCACTTTCGTAAGACTTTCTGGCTTAAGTTCTGCACGCTG